CAGAAATAATATATCTTATTAGATACTGGAATGTTAATGATATTATGTATTCTTATTGGAATGTAGTAGGTTTCTTTTAAAGAAATAATACTGTAATCATTATCTGCATCCATAACTGTTTTTCATTTTTTATGTTCTTACTATAACTGCTTCCATCGTCAATTAAATTATTCATTTGATTTTCCTTCCTCAATTATCGAATGATAAACTTAGGAAAAAAGGGGAGGAATGTGTACATGTGGTATCTGTGATATCAATGTACACAGTGAATTACATATGGGTATGGTTTTATCCCCGAAGTTTATTGTTGGATTTTCGGCTGATACAAAGCAATAAGGCAAATAAATAGTATGTAACTAAATAAGCATCATGTTATTTATTTAAGTTTTCCATCTAAATAGATGACATTCTAAACATTAAACTATGCATACTCTAATTTTGTTCATTCCATAGTATGTTTTCAATTTTTTTTTTTTTTTTTAAACTTCGTTCAGTATAAAAATTGTTTTTTTAGCTATGATAGACAACGCAAATTATTTGTGCAACATGGGAAAACAAACTTCTATTGAATTACCAAACTCCAATAGTAAAGATGCTTTGAGCTGTATTCCAATAGTAAAGATGCTTTGAGCTGAACTGTACTTCACAAACAGAAGATATCATTCAAATAGAGGATATCACTCAGATGATAATAATATGATGATAACAAGCAGAAATCATAATAATGATAACATAATGATAATATAACAGAAGTTGCGATTGTGATAACGTAATGATAAGAAACAGAAGGTATGATTCAAATGGAAACAGATACCATTCAGATGGATTGGTCAGCTTAGTCTGAAAACTGAGGTACAATTTAAGCTTCAGTATTGATTCTGCTCGTCAAAAGGATAAACTAATAAAAATATGCTCACTGATTAAAGTTTTTAACCAGTGTCCAATGGGGACTTTTGCTAATTATCTGCTATTGAATGCAAAATTGTACTTCTGAGCATAAGTTAGCTCATGAAATATGGAAATTAAGACACTTACGATGTGTTACTCAGAGGGTGCATATTAATATTCGAGTATGTAGTATTTGGTATATATACTGCTAAGGCAATTGTTTAAAATTAAAGTGGTTTCTTAGAAGGGCCAGTGTTTAATATTTATGAATCAAAGGCGTTCTTCAAATGAAGGATAAAAGTAGCGTTCATTGGTAGAAAGGCCAAACAGAAATGGAGGCCGTTTGAGTTCCATATAATCCCTCAAAATATCATATCAAGAATTTCGGATAGCTTTTTTTAAGCAGTGAATCAGTTAGTAGATAGTCAAAAGCGGCAAAAGAGCAACAACTTCATTCAGTCCTTTTTTTTTTTTTTTTTTCTTTCTTTCATTGTTGGGTTGAAGGAACCGTGAAATGATTACAATAGAGTTAGTTTTAAACCTTAAAACCTCGAATCAGCCGGTCGGCAGTTTCACAAAACCTTTACGAGGTTAGACTTCATATGAGAAATATTCATATGAGAATATTCATTCATATGAGAAAAACCAGTGGTTTGGATCCCATTTACTTCATTAGCTAAGGAAGTTCGTTTAAATTGGTATCGTCATCACAGTCAATGAAGCCGAGAAGAATGGAATTGAGTTCTAGTAATTGACGAATCCGAGTATAGCCTGAAATAATATTCTAGACGTGAGATCAGGAGGAAACCATAGGCAATTCGCTTTTGCATAACATAACTTCTATTTCTAAAAAGTCTAAACTTTTATACCTCCCCCTCCTTTTTTCAGAAACAGTTTAGGGTTACTGTTATTAAAAATCGTCGCACCAAGTTACATAGCTTTGATGGAGTTCTTATAGCCAGTTACAGTATATGGGCTAAGTCTTGGGAGTCCATCTAAGGTTGTTAAAATTTTCTGTTATGAATGATAATGCTCGTCTTTATCGAGCATCTCTGGTATAAAAATACTTGGAAACAGAAGATAACATTAAAATGAATTCGCTAACTTTTGCATCAGAATAACTCTCAAATTCAGCACATCTAAGATACCTCAGGCCTCATTTGATTCAGCGCATATAAGATACTCTCATTGCAAAGTGACAAATACTTCCTCTGACCTTCCAGGATCTGAAATGTGCATCTTTAAAAAGGTAGCATGCATTTTCTCAAGATTTGATCAAGAGTTTGGTAAATTGTTATGAAATCGAGATGTGACATTTGCATTTCTGTCAGAGATGACCACATCCGTATTGATGACAGATTTTTTGCAAAAGAGACGATATAATTTTCCCATCGTTTTTTAATTTCCATAAATTTGATTTTAAATTCATTATGCTGAGGCTAATCAACTGGCAGACATGGTAATTTGTGTTAAGTAATGATTTTAATAATTTTTCAATTAAGTACTTGTTAAGTTTTATTTCTCTCAATATATTTTAACTTTTAAGAGCTATATATAGTTTGGATTTCGGAATGGAAACTATTTTATGCAATGCATTTTGGAAATGAGTATTAAAGGTATTCATAAACGGAAAACAATCTAACACAGCAATAATTTAAAAAAAAAAATTTTATTGTCAAATTCCCGAATTTCTTCGACATTTACAGAAAATTTTAATATCGGAAAATGCAATAAAATTAGTATTTGTATATCCATATTGCCCGACAATCTGCTGAATTATGAAGAGGATATTTTATTCCATGCATACACGTGGCTGCTTGGCAAATTGCCAGTTCATGGGGGAAAACACCTATTGTTTCCTACGAGCACGTGGCCGATTGGCAATTTTCCTTTCATGCGAATTTAGATTATTTCCTTAATATCCATACAGTGGAGGATTTACGTATAAGCTGAACAAGCTATAGCTTAACCCCCACTTTCTCGGGGCCCTTCCCGAATTGTAGCATATACCATATAAAAAAATTGACTCATATCCTTCATAAAGCTCAAACAGCTTAAGATCTCGTCAAATTTAAATCCGGTCCTGTTTCCATATTAAAATAATGCAGCTTATCCATTATAATTTTCATAGTTTGAGAACGTTTAATAAATTAAATTACTTAAAAGTAGTGTACAACATCGTTATAGTAATATTTTGATGCATTTTAAATGAATTTCATGGGCTTGCTCTGATATCAAAAAAGCGAGCTTAATCACAGCAACAAACCTTACAAGAAAATTTTTATAAAAATATTTTAGTTGTTTTAAATGCCCTTTTGTATATTAAAAAATGATATCCGCGTATTAAAAATTATGTATTACATTTTTTACAAACTCATTAAAATTATTATTCCCCACAGCGATACAACGCCGTTCTAATTAATCACGAAGAAATTTTGTCAAATGAAACTGAATTATGTTTAAAACGTCCGCGGAAAATGCGTGTTAGTTAGTTAAATTTGAAACAAAAATGTTTACCCAGTCAACTTCAAACTAATATCCCCCACAACACATACCCTTTGCCCTCGGGCTTTTGAAATTCTCAGAAGCACTGATATAATATCTCGTTTGGTACCTGTCGAAGATTAACGTCACGTTGTTTTAGATAACTTAAACTATCTTAAAACTTTAACTCCATCAAGCGTAACGTAGAATCCTCACGCCTTCCAACGCCTGACCGGCTGAAGTAACTGAAAACTGGTCGTTCGATCTGGGTTCGAATCTCAGCAAAAGGGTTTGGCTGCATGGGAGTTTACGTGGATGAGTATGTAGATACAAGCCATTTTCCCTAAGATGTCGTCCCCATAGGGAGATAGCCCTCATGGTGCGTACCTTAATCAATTTACCTAATCTAACGTAGGACTATATTGATAAGCAGCAAGATTAGAGAGTAAGAAATCTTGAATGTAGTCACTTGATGCATTTCTTCTGGAAAGAGTTATACGATTTCTTCTAATAATCAAGTTCAAAGTCTGCCGAAGCATTAAAAAACGGAAAAAATATGATGTTCGTTGACATATGAAAGCGAATTGAAATTACTACGAGCTGTTGAATTGAGGAAACTCGAAGCAGCGGGGGTCAACTATTGCTACTGTTAATTATATTTTACAAAATATATTAATATCAATGATTAACATTTTGCAAAATATATTATATTGTTGCTATATTTTGAAATTATGATACATATGATACATACTACTAAAAATTATGATACATATGATACATACTACTAAAAATTATGATACTACTAAAAATTATGATACATACTACTAAAAACATTTAGTAGCGATTTACTTAACGATTTCGCAAGATTAAAAGCTTCAAGCTCCCTGGATTAATCGATCACGCGAGGAATAATAGAAGTAACTTATAATGTAAATAAACTGCGCTTATACTGTTTCGCTATGATGTTTGTAATGATTTCTAAAAATATTATCAAAATTAACATAAATTGTTTTACTATCTACCTTTTGGCAGCATCTAATCTAGAGAAACCATTATAGGAGTGAAAATTTACCAATAAAGAGAAGTGAATATGTTGGACTAAGAATATATTTATTTATAACAGTTGTATTTTAATGTTTCCTTTAAGTATGCACGTAGTATTTTCTTAGGTATTTTCTCTACTTAAGGTAATTTCTTAAGGTATCTTTCTTAAGGTATTTTCTCTACTTCAAAATATTTTCAAATAAATTATATATAGATTTTTCCGAAGTTATTAGTCAAGAAGAGAATAAACATGAACTGGAATAAAACTGAACACTGTGAAAATAAATGAAGGTCATTTTCTAATTTAGTATCCGAAGAAACTAAAAATTAAATATTAAGTTTTTATAAAAATTAAGAAACCTCGTTTTCGCAGATTTCTGAATTTCTGAGACCCACTGGAAACAAAGTCATTTCGTGACTTAGCATCCCAAGATACTAAAAATTAAACATAAGTTAAAAAATTTCAGAAACCTTCGTAGGCTTGCGTTATATAATAACACACTTATTACAATTAACATAACTTCAAAAATGCTTCTATTTATCAAATAATTATTTAATTTAATTTTTTAAATTTTCAAACTTACCGAAATCGCTACCGTGTTCCTTCGAACCGTTGACAGTTCTGTCTGGAAATATTTGCAAAGTAAATCCAGTTTTGCTTCTCAAAAAACCAATCGAGTTCTTATCGTCATAATATCGCTTTCCCTGCACACCAGGTAAGCAGCACACCACCAGTACCTGTATTCCGAGCAAACAAGTCACACAGTGCTCCATTGAGTCGCATCGCTGCTTTCCATGTGCTCTGATCGGCTCCTCAAACTTAAGCAATAATCCTCTGCTTCCCAAATCAAACGAATGGTGGACTTCGGATTCGAGCGGTGGAAACGAGCCAACGCCTCGCCTCATTTAAATATACTGTCACATTATGGATGTGGTAGCTTATTTTGTTTTACAGTTTTTCCGCTTATTTTACTTAGTTTCTATGAGTCCTTGTTGCTAGGAGATGCAGCCGCTTAATAATCATCTATCTTCTTTGTTTTTTGATTAGAAATGATAATGCTTGATGAAAAAAAAATAATAAAAAGAAGTGATTGTATTTTCAAGATAGTTTTTTTCCCTTCGAATAGTTTATTCGAGATAAAAGTAGCATTTTATTTTAAACTTCTCACAATGCAATATAATCAGTTCGTAAATATAAGGAAGTCCGAGACGTTTCCCTGAATGCCAAGACTTTTGTGTATAAGAGCGCATAGTTCTTCTTGCGGCAGATTTAAAGACAATATCTCATTACATCGTAGAATAAATTAATTTAAAATTTTGAAAGTAAAGATTTGCCTAAATTTAGATACAATAAGCAGTTTAGTATCAAAAAAAAAAAAAAAAGATTTAAAGTATCCAGATGCAGTAAATCCTTTCTAATAATTTATCGTACTGTGTCGAATCGGAGATGATTATTCTTGATTTCAAATTTCCTTTTTAAAATTAAGCCCAGTTTTGACTAATATTTCAGAAATATTTTTGAATTTTTTTATTACATCCTCATCATCCTTTATTACAGCCTGTGGTAGATTAATCGGACACTGTAAAAGAAAATAATTCTAAAAAGTTTATTTTTTGCAGAATGATGGGAACATCACTACCGCTGACCATAGCATAAAACAAAACTGCCTATGGAAAGTACAGAAAACGAAAAGAAAAGTGTGGCAGCAGCAATGATAACAGGTGATATCATAGTATTTGAGTGATATTTTTATTCAGAACAATATGTAATTTAAGCGCTGGTATTCTGAATTCATAAACAACTTTACATCATCCGTTAAAAGTAAACTGCTCGAACTTAAAAATAAACCAGACACTGCCATAAATCGTCTCTTTCACATCGACTCCTATCAAAATGCAAAATAGATGTAAACGAAAATAACAACTTGTGCACCGTAAACTACGGAGGGAACACAACAGTCATAGGAAGAGAAAGAGAGAGAAAGATGTACCCGTGATCGAAAGAGAGACATAAAAAGAAAAATTTTAATAATGATTCAATATATGCAACCAAATGAACTTTATCTCTAGATAAATGTTTCTTAAACTGTGGGTCGCGGTTCCAATTGGGGTTCGCGAAACCAGCAGTAGGGGGTTGCCAAAAATTTTAGCAATTTTGATATTTCTTTAACTTTTTATAGTAATTTCACAATTACCAAATACTTTTGTATGATGTATCTGAAAATAGATACATATAAGTTAATATAGACAAAGAAAAAACGAAAAGGTTTCGACGTATGTTTTTATGACGCAAAATTTTATTTTACTTTAAAAATTAAAGTTAATGATTAAAACTGCAATAGTATAGTACAGTATAAGTGATATATACAGTATAAGTGAATTTCACTCACGCATGTGTCGGATTTGCTGTGTCGCATGTGTCGGATCACGCATGTGTCGCAAGTGTTGGCATAATTTTTTTTTGGGGGGGGGAGTCTTTCCTGAGTTTATCATATAAGAGTTTAGTTTTCTTACTAAGATGGTTTCACAAAACCTTTTTTTGTCTTTTTATTATAAAACGTTTTCTGCGTTTGCTTTATTTATTAGATATTACGTTTTTGGCGCTTTTCGATTAAAATTTGATTCAACAGCAAAATCACAAAATATTTAAAAACAGCATATGTTTATAATTTCTGATAAACAGCCACGCTCACTGGAGTAAAAACGCTTTTTCCTACCACTGCTCACTTTGAAATAGTTGAGTTTGTTAATAAAAAATTCTTCAAACTTCTAAAAAATATGAAATAGATAAAACATATTTTAAAATCAAAAGTCGGGCTTCCAGGTGCTCATGTTTGGGTAGAGGACTACGTTATTCAAAATTTGATGGCATTAAGAACCGTTGTTTTTTCACAATGCAAGAAACATGCATACGTTCATGCAGACTCTTCATTATTTAATTTTTTAAATATAATACAGGGTGATAATAATTGTTAGCAAGAACTTGAAAAGTGATACGTCGTTTATAGTAGTTCAACGCAAAATGCTGTTTCGAGACTAATATTCTACTCGGGACTAACGTCCCTTCTGGCTAATAAAGCATGTTGTTTACCTTACTTGATACATAATATAGGATTAACGAAATGTAAAATATGTTCTCCTACATTCCTATGCTCTATATCATTGGTCTTCATACTTTGTCGACTCACGGAACTCTTAGAACTATACGATTTTTTTGGAGAACTCCAACCCACCATTAAAAAAATTGATCGTAAAAAGTAGATCAATATTTACAGGTACTTTATGCAACAATCATTAAAGAAAAACATTGTACTTTTTATTAAAATCTTTTACATAAAATTAATGTAATTTACTTATTTATAGCATTAACACGTAATTCAGATGTCACCCACCCTTGCATTATAAAATTTAGTGACGGGGCTCTGCTTGCATTTTTTTACACAAACTGTCGAAGTCTAGCTCTATTGATGTTATCTACAGTGGTATTTCATAGTCTGCATTTAATTTGTTTGTATATTTTTTGTTGCCACATACAGTAAGAAAGATTTTTCACTTAAATATGTTGTTTTGAATGGCATTAAAATGTTTATAGCTCTGAAAAACTTCTAGATATTATTTACGAATATGCAATGAAGAGTTTAGGAGTTTCTCTTGCTTAAATCTAGATTTGAATGTCGAATCTCTTGATATGCCGAAAGTTGTTTGCCTTAGCGTATAACATAAACGGACTTTTTATCCAGTTATACTTAGTTTTTGCTTCTATAATTTTCTTCAACTGCGAAAGGAGCTCCATTATATAATTTTTAGCACTGTCGTATAAATCCAATCCCCATTCCATTAGCAAACTGTTTAATTTTGTAGAGCATTGCACGTTATTTTCTTTAACATGTGATGACCAAATGTTAAATTTTAAAACTAATCTATAGCTAAATATATCTTAATATATTTTAGTTAATAAACACTAATCAACTAGTGTGAGTCCTTTATAAATTTTTTCGATTTTTTTGGACTCCTGGAACCAAGCTATTACAACTCATATGTAACAAAAGAAGTATCAAATTAATTTATGTGAATGCCCGCATATTGGATTAAAATTTAAGCAGTTATCAATTTCAGAAGACTTCGATAGCATAAAGGTAGAACCTTTCTGGAGACGATAATTTTCTGTGTTCGAGCTCCTAGACTTCCAAAATACATCATTTGGAATAACATATTATAGTTAAATTTTAGCATAACACTATAGCTTTTAGAAGAATATTTTAAAATGTAAACAAACTGAATGAATACGGATGAATCAGATGTCTGTTCATAATAGAAAAATTTAAATTCATATAACACATATTAGGATAACTTTTCTAACGAAATAACTCTTTCAAATAAATGTGCTTTAAAAATCTTTGCTACATAACATTTTGATTCGTATTTCAAAGATTTTAATTAGGAAGCATTTAGGGGATTCTTTTAATGACCGTCTGATTGCAGTCTGGAAAAGTAAAGAACTTTCGAAGTGCGTAAAATATTTATTTGGTTGATGAATGTTACGAATTTCATCTGTTTCCTGTTATCATCAAGATGCAAATTAAATAAAACTGGATTTCTGGAGTCCCAGAACAAATTAGATGATTGTTAACAGAATTAAACAATTATTCAAATGCAAATATACATGTTCATTACGCAGTTTACTTCCTTATGAGCTTGTTTTAAAAGTATATGGATATTCAAAGTATAATCATAACATTGCTAGCATTGTTAAACATGCGTCAATAAAAATATTATTTAATATGTTGAAAACATTTTTACGCTTGGATGAGTTAGCCAAACAAATAAATGTATCTTGTTGAAATTTCTGGTAACAGTTTATTAACAGCCATTAAGAAAATAAAACTTTTAGTTTCTCATATCAAAATGAAGAACAAAATCAACTGAATCGTCTCAAAACAAAGTGAAAAAACTTTCAGTATAATAATTTTACCTAGTCATATATTTCCTGTAGTTTCACCCACTTGTATTTCCCAGGTACCTTTTATTAATTATTATAAATATTTGTAATATATTGACACATATACTTCTACACTAAAAGAGATATGAATAAGATGAGAGAAATAACCTACTCATAACACTATAGCATGAAAATAGAAATTATTTTAAAATGTTTCATAAAAATAAACCTCAACTATCTCTGCACTTCACGAAACTAGTATCGATCAAAATAATATCACTGCAATTATTATTGCACTTACTTCTTTAATTCCAACAATAGTTTAATTAATTCGCAATTAATAATCTGCTTGCTTGAGATTATTAGATTTGCAGATGCAGGAAATGTGAAAAAGTAGCTATGATCTCGTCGAGATTTGAACCATAGATCATCCACTTGTTAGGACGGGCTAAACTGTTACACCATGAGACCAGAATTATCATTCACCGCATTTTAGTTCGAGAGCACTTGTAAAAAGTATTAGACTTTTTTATGCATGAAATACGAAAAATAAATACCGATTTAGCTGGAAATCAAACTACTGTTCTTTCAGTTCCTTTCTACAAGCGTTACCCACTTGACATATGAGACTATTCATGGAGAATTCGATAATTCCTTACAAGACATCAGCAGTAAATGTTGAATTCTTTCCAAGGTGACCTAGAAAATTGCGGTACTTCGTACTGTAGTATCCTCAGTTTTAAGCTGTCATAGACAAACTAAAATACCTTTATTTTAATATTTAAATGTCATCACATGTGTTGGAAAGCCTCAAATTTTTTTAACTAAACAAAATTCAACCTTGGATCATTAGCTTTACTGAAAATTTCTAAGCATTTCTTTCAATTGATATAGGCCAATCTCTGTCGATATGCATAGTTTTTCTTGCCATCAACAAGTTCTGTTTAAAGTTAAATATTAAAATAACAAATTAATAGCTTTATAAAGTATTTTCTCCATCCTCCTCGCCTTCGTGGTTTAATGGAATCACACTCGGTACGTATTCGAGAGGTCCAGGTTCGAGTCCCGAATGTCTGTACAAATGGCGCCCGAACTAAAATGTGGTGGACAATAATTCCTCATCACCAGGATTTGACGATTGCGTGCCCTAATCCTTTTAAAAGGCGGAGTATATAAGGTATTTTCTCCCTCGTGATTTAACGGAAGTACACTCGAGGAGCATTCGAGAGGTGCAAAGTTGGAGTCCCTGCAAGGACACCGCCCCATTTCACGTTCTTGCATCGAAATAATCTAGTAACTCTACAGTGGCGCCAGAACTAAACGTTATGGTGGACAATTATTTGTTCACCACCAGGGTTTGGCGATTGGTCCCCTAATCCCCGATCTCCCTTTAAAAATGTGAATATGTAAAGCATTTTCTCCCTCCTTCCAGCATACCTTTGTGGTGTAACGGTAGCACACTCGGTGTGTGTTCGAGAGGTAGAAGTTCAAGTCTCAGCGAGGGCCCGTCTCCTGTTTTAAAAATGACTCTACAGCTTTATCTCCATATACAAATATTGTTCGCCATATTTTAGAACAAATTTCATGCACTATAATTCCTGTTTTGAAACAGTATTTATTTCTCAAATCTTCTCCTTAGTGACACTTGCTTTGGACTATCAGTCTATGTCTCGATTTCCAAGATTAGAGGATATTTCTTCCGTACTTTTCTATAAGTACCACGTCTCAGTGATACTTTTCTCTAAATTTTTTACGCTACTTTACGTGGTCCGTCTTATATTTC